TCCCAACGGATCCGGTATGATCCCTTGGGACGGTGGAGCCGTCGGGAATTTTCGGCTGGATTTCTCCCACCTTTTGAGCGTGCCGGAAATAGATGCTCTTATCCGCGCCGCAGCTGATGAGCTGGACTTGGCCATTCCCTAAAAAAAAAAGGGGGAAAAAACACCGGGAATGTCAACCGGAGCCTGCAAATTCCTTAGGAAATCCCCCAGGTGATGCTAAAACCTGATTATTCCAGAGAGGATTCATGGATACAGGGGAACACCGGAGCCCGAGCGGCTCCGCCTGTTGATCCGCCGGGATTGTTTGGGATGCGGAGTATCCCAACGGCTGGAATGTCGGGCTGGACCCGAGGTCCCCACCGGCGAATTTTACGGATGTGATCGCGGACGAGTGGTCGTCCAGGGTCTGCTCCAGCCGGTAGTTTTTATCCACGTTCAGGACATGGATCAGGCGATCCCGGCTCGCCGACGCCAACAACGCGACACCTGGAGGCGGGAAAAACGGGATCCCGCCGGCTGTTCCCGGGAAGAGAGGCGCTTCCTGGGAGAAATCCGGGTCTTCTCGCCGTTGCCGTGGGGGAAACGGGTGGAAAAGCGGCAAATTTAACCCCTGCTGGGGAAAAATGAGGGAATTCTCTACTAGGGAATTCTAATATTCCAAAGGAAGCCAAAAAAACGGGATTTAATGGAGCGGCTCCGTAGTACAGGTTGAGCTGGGGTGTAGTTGGCGCCTGTGCTACAACCGCCCCGGATTTTATCCCATTTTCCGGTGTTTTTTTCCCGGCCGAGCTCATTTTTCCGCATGCTCTGCCTCTGCTTTAATCCCGGGAATCTCAAGGTGTCTTTTCCGGGAAAACCGGAGCTCGGAGGAGCCGCCTTTGCCCTCAGCTAGAAAGGGCCTGGGAAACCAAGGGAATTCCCAGGTTTTTCCCGGGGCCACTTACCCGTTTCTGCTTGGAATATTCCCAAATTCCGCTCGGAATATTCCCGTGCTCGGTTAGCACTTACCCGTTTCCGGCTTGGAATATTCCAAACAAAGCACCTCGGAATCGTGCGCTTCCACCTTGGCCACTTCCCGCATGAAGCGCAGCTCGTGGATCCTGCCCGGAAAAAGGGGAGCGCGAGCTCGGCTTGAACCCGGAAAAACAGGGAAAATGGAGTGGGAAGAGCAGCGGGAAGAGCAGCGGGAAGAGCAGCGGGAAGGGACCCAAAATGGAGCTTTTTGGCCCCAAAACCTCGTGCCTGAGGGTGCCGCCGCGGTCGCCCGAGGCCAAATATCGGCCGTCCGGGCTGATCCGGAGGACGCGGACGCCGGATTTGCCGTCGGCAAAGGCGCCGTTTTCGCCGCGCTCGGAAGCGCCGCCGGAATCTTGGAGGTGCTGGGTGTTGTTGTCCACGTAGACGATGTTCAGGAGGCTCTGGAAGAGGGAAAAGCGGGAATGTTGACGGATGCGCTCGCCTTCCCGGGATGGCTTGGAAGGAGGAGGCGGGCTGGGGGTTTTAGGGAATTTTAGGGAATTCCCGATGCGGCTCCGGGATGTCGGGAATGTGGTGGGAATTGCTTACAGTGCTGTAGGCGTTGCCTGGGTGGGAATGGCTTCCCAAATTCCACGTGCGGATGGTGTTATCCGAGGAGCACGTGAGGAAGGAGCCGGGCGGCAGGCAGGATCTTGGCTCCTCCAAGTCGGGATAAACCTGCTCCGGGCAATGGAAAAGCGCCGTCCGGAGCGGCTTTTCCGGCTAAGGCGGGATGGGGAGAAGGGAAAAGCGGGATTTTCCAGCCTCACCTCGACGCTCCACACGAAGGAGCTGTGGAAAAGCTCGGAGCAGACCCGGCGCACGCGGCCGATATCCCGCACGTCCCACACGTAGATGCTGTGATCCCTGTAGACGCAGGAAAGCCAGGAACGCCGCGGATCGTAGGCCAGGGCGACGGCGTCGGGATACTCCCAATCCGGCCGCCTGCGGGGAAAACCAGGAGCTTTCCCATCATCTTCCCCATGGGAATCCCGGCACGAAGCCCTTTCCGACCTCCGGAAGCTCCGGCAATGGATTTGGGAGGGATTTCAACCCTCGTTAATTCCCACAATGGCTTTGGAAGCGATTCCCAGCTTCTTGGAGCTTTGGGAAAGGGTTTGGAAGTGGTTTCAAACCTCTTAAAGCTCCGGGAATGGGTTCGGAACCGATTTGAAACCTCTTAAAGCTCCGGGAAAGGATTTGGAGCTGATTTCTAATCACTTGGAGCTCCGGGAAAGGATTTGGAGCCGATTCAGAACCTCTTAAAGCTCCAGGAAAGGATTTGGAACTGATTTCCAATCGCTTGGAGCTCCAGGAAAGGGTTTAGAACCGATTCCGAATCCTTTCAAGCTTCGGGAAAGGATTTGGAGCGATTTTGGAACCTCTCTAACCTCCAGCGACGGGTTTGGAATGGATTTCCCATTGATTTTAGCCCTGACAATGGGTTTGGAATCAAATTCCAATGGTTTAAAGCTCTGCCAAAGGGTTTGGAATCGATTTCAAACCTCTTTGGGCTTCAATGAAGGTTTTAAAACCGATTTCAAACCTTTTTTGGCTTCAACGAAGGGTTGGAACCCAATTTCAAACCTTTTTAAGCTTTGTTGAAGGCTTTAAAATGGGTTTCAAACCACTTTGAGCTTCAGCAAAGGGTTTGAACCCGGTTTCAATCCTCTTTGGGCTTCATTGAAGGTTTTAAATCAATTTCAAACCTCTTTGGGCTTCATTGAAGGTTTTAAATCAATTTCAAACCTCTTTGGGCTTCATTGAAGGTTTTAAAATCGATTTCAAACCTCTTTAAGCTCCAATGAAGGTTTCAAAATGGGTTTCAAACCACTTTGGGCTTCATTGAAGGTTTTAAAACCGATTTCAAACCTCTTTGAGCTTCAGCAAAGGGTTTGAACCCGATTTCAAACCACTTTGGGCTTCACTGAAGGTTTCAAAATAGACTCCAAACCGTTTCCAGCCTCAGTGAAGCCTTTGAACCAGTTTCACACCGGTTTCACACCGGTTTTGCTTCCCCGGGGGTTTGAAGGCGCCATTGGACTCCAATGAAGGTTTCAAAATCGACTCCAAACCTTTTCCAGCCTCACCGAAGCCTTTGAACCGGTTTCACACCGGTTTCACACCAGTTTCACTCCGGTTTCGCTTCCCCGGGGGTTTGAAGGCGCCATTTTCGCGCCCAAACTGCCCCTTTTTCCGGGTTTTTCCCAGCGGATCCGCACCGGGCACCGGGGCCGTGCGGCTTGGGAAGATCCGTGACGTAGCGGAGATCCCGGGCCAGGAAAACGCGGACGGAGACGCCGGCGCCGCCGCA